TTTATTTATTATTAAATTTTTATTAATCTATTAACTTTTATTTAATACTAATAAATTAATTAATATAATTAAATTTTTTATTAATATATATAAATAATTTAAAACACTAATTTGTTTAAAAATATGTATGAACATGTATATCAGGCTACATAAATATTTCAAATAAACTTATTGCAATTTTTGGCCCTTAGTCGACTTTTAATATAAGAGTTGACTCTTAAAAGAACAGAGTTGACTATACCCACCATTGGGAACTTTCCTTGCTCTCTGGAATTTGGTAGTCGAATGTTACTCCTTTAGAGTCGAATCTTGGAGGCATTAGAGTCGACTCTTTATGTATAGAGTCGACTCTAACTTGCAACAGGATGCTCGAACCTCTCTGGAATTTGGGAGTCAAATATTGATCCTATATAGTCGACTCTTGGAGGATTTAGAGTCAACTCTTCATTCATAGAGTCGACTCTAACCTGCAGTAGGATGCTCGAACCTCTCTAGAATTTGGGAGTCGAATGTTGATCCTATATAGTTGACACTTGGAGGATTTAGAGTCGACTCTTCATTCATAGAGTCGATTCTAATCTGCAGTAGGATTCTTGAACCTCTCTAAAATTTGGAAGTTAAATGTTGCTCCTATATAGTCAACTCATGGAGGAGTTAGAGTCAACTCTTCATGTATAGAGTCGACTCTAACCTGCAGCACATGCTCGAACCTCTCTGGAATTTGGGAGTCCAATGTTGCTCTTATACAGTCGACTCTTGGAGGGTTGATAGTCAATTCTTGATGTACATAGTCGACTTTAACATGCCTGAAATGCTCGAACCTCTCTAATATGCCCCAACTTTTGTACTTGTTCTTACTACACTTTGATTTTACTATATCACATTACATACAATGTCATTTATCATATCACATATTTTCAATTTATCACATTATTATAAATGTGTACCACTTATATCATTCGCTTATCTCATAATCATAAATTAAAAGATAAGTATATAAGTACCACTTGCAACATTTAACATGACCATTTACATATTCTAAACTTGCAAGTCATAGTAATACAGTTAATATTACCACAAACCATTCAATTCCAACTGACATATACACCCATGTCCTAACAAGTTCAAATCACCCTTCCAAAAACTAAAAGTATTTTCCTCTAGTATTAAGAACATGCCAAGTTTTGCGTTCGCAACCTCATGCACACTGATCATTCCGGCCCAAATGGACCCTGGTAATCTGCATCAAATCTCGGCTGGTAACCATAATCATCTTGTGGGGGATTGGCTAAAGATGTACCTGGAGATCCTGACTGTCTCCCCATTTGGCCCATGGGGAATGCAGGTTCTATTGGCATTTGCATTGGCACTGGCCCACTAGCATGAAACGATGGCCTAGCAGTAGGGAATGATGTCCCTACAGGAGGAAATGCTTGCCCAGTGTGAGGCAATGATGGGGTAGCACTAGGCAGACGCATCCTGTAGGCACTAAAAGCAGCAAATTGCTGCGATAAAGAAGCCTGCATCCTCCCCATGTCTTCCAACATCCGTTGCATTACTTCTCGTTGCTCTTTGACTTGCCCTATTTTGTCTCGCATCATTTGCATTGCCTCCCTATCTTTGGCTTGTTTTTCAGCCATGTCTGATATCATCAGGCTCACATATGAAGTCTCCGTTGGTTGTCATTTTCTATATGTAAACCCAAGTTTTCCTAACATGAAATTGTTGTGGCATCCCCCAACAGCAGTTGCCCAAGCATCATTGTCTCGAGGTGGCCATGATGCTAAGTCCGAGCCATATGTAGTAGAGCACTCACTAACATATGTATCTTACAAAAGTAATGCAAAAAAAAACCTACAACATATAACTGCAAATTTTTAAATGTTGTATACACATAACAATGTTGAAAATGTAATCATTATTATTTACGAACAAGTGATAACAAAGTAGCAATCATCGAGAGACAATCAATACCCAAACAAAATTGTTTCATGAACACCAACACATACTAATACTTACTCATGCAAAATTTTTGTTATATTTTATTTAACACCACTAACTTTATTAATAAACTTTTTATTCACTTTTTCTAACAATTTATGTCACTCATAGAAAACTTTTTATCTAGTATGTTTGCACTTACATGCCGAGTCTTATGTTTGTTGCCACACCATGGAGCTTCTTGTCCTTGGGGGACACCTTTTCGTAAAGTATGTGTTTCCTTGTATAGCTCTTGGTGTGCTGGCCTTACCCCCCCAGTAGCTTTGGTCTGTGTGTCACAACCATATTATACGAGGTTAGCAAGTTATTTATATTTATAGTCAATCGATAATTATACAAAAATAATATAACTTGTGTTCATTATCTATTATATATATACACTTTTCTTTCTTTTCTTACTTACACCATCTGTTCTTCATGTACATCAATACTCACTGATCCTGTAGTGTGTGTAACTCGTTCCCCAGATGCTCGATTTTTCTTCCCCCTCTCGCTAAGATTGTGAAACTCATCAGAATCCCAATAAGCGCATAATGTAGGCCATAGGTGCTCAGGCACCCATACCAACCTATACTTACCGTTTGTACACCACTTATCCCGTTCATCCTTCATATTATCGCCCCATCCTTTCTTCATTGATCTTAAGAACGCCTTTCGGACCGCATCCTCATCCTCTAAAGCCCATTGATAATGTGTCTGTCACCACATACAAATAAATTATTTCCATGCAACTTAATAACATATAGTATATTAACACATGTATATACACCATATCCCATTTTTTTGTATATACTTAATTAACATTTTGTCCATACAAAAGAGCTAATTGAAACGAATCAAAACTTTTAATACTTTATTGACAAACTCAGAATTATAAGGATTTTTGTGTTATATGATGACT